AATCGTACGGTGTCGAATAATTTGGTGTCGAATAAATCTGTGTCGAATCGAGCGGTGTCGAATCGTACTGTGGTCAATAGAGTATCACCCTTTACATACACTAGTGTAGACCCGTTGTTCGGTGCGCTTGACAGAGCGTTTCGAGGCAGCGGCTTCAATCGCTGATATTCCACAGTTCCATTGGTCCAGTGCAGGCTGTGATGATTGACCGTGAGCCAGCACGCTCGCGTCTGCTCGGCTTTTGTCAACAGGTTCCACGACATAGGTTCTTGAAACACATGGTGAATCAGCTCGCGTCCGTTCCGAAGTATTGCCGCTTCCTTAGTTATAAAGTTGTTATCTCCAATCATAAAACCTTGAAAATCCACAAATATTGGTATGTCCACCGAGGAACGCAGCATGGTGGACATTGATGTAGTCGTCGACGCAGACATAGTGTGCGACATCGTTGACCGTACGAACGCGACTGACAACTGTTTTAAACGATACGCCGCACGACGCTGGTCAGCGAATTGTACTCGACGATACGATCGTGTATGATCAGACAGTACGCGGTTGTGTCGGCGGGTACATTTTCTTTGCAGTTGAATTCAATGCGAACGTCAACGGTGGCGCTCTTGACCGTTTCGTTTTGGCGCGAACAGTCAATGACCACGAGCAGTCCGCAGTAGATGAACTTGTCCAACGTTAGAAGCGCCTCGTCCTCGTCGCATCCGTAGTAGGATCGTCTGAATTTGACGTACATGTCGTACAAAATGGCGTATCGTTCCTTACTAAAATCTAGATTCAAATCGTCGTAGGGATAGAAATCTGAATTCAGGAACAACTTTACATTTGATAAGTTGCAATGATCGAATCGCGAGCAATCTCGGCTGACAACATTCTTTCGACCGGTCTGCAACGCAAAAATAATGTAACGCGGTTTTTCCAATTGTGTAGCCGCTTTTACAGCCCATGAATGAGATGTTGTGCTCTGTAACAACGGATACTCATACAGATCCCACAAGCGAAAACCCATGGTCAAATATTGACCGCTTTCCAAAGTGCGCAACAGCTTCAATTTGTTCACATCGTTTAATACAACGTGTGGCATTCGCCACTGCACCTTGTGCAATTTCACCGTTGGTCCGCTGTTAGCTGAAGCAAAGACGCTATTGTTNTCGTTGCGCGATCGTATCAGAATGAGTTCGTGTCTCGCGTTGATCACAACGCGTTTATAGTCCTCGCAGAATCCCAACAATGTGCGGAGAGGTACGCAAAAATTGAATTCACCAACACCTTTATTAGTGGACAAATTCCATCCCGCATGTCGCAGAACGTTTCCCGTTTCTCTGGTTAGAGACACATAGTTCTTTAACGTGCTTGTTACACCAGGGTTGCGATTTTGATCGATTTCCACACCATTGAGCTCGTATCTGATCTCATCGAACATAAACGCAACGCAATTGTTCGTCAACGCGNACGTATAAGTAACTGTCGGATGGTAGAGTGTAAACATCTTGTTGTTGAATGGGTATGCGTATCTCGTCGCTGTGACTAAACGATGTATTGGCGTACGGATTGTACGTGTGAGTCTCGATCTTGACGATACAATCGTCGAAGACTGGTTCACCACTGATGTTGAGTACGTCGTTCATTGTTGTTGTTGTTGTTAGCGTTGTATACTGCGTAACCCACCAAACGCAAAAACGTTGCGTTTCGCGCATTCAACGTCAAACGATTCAAAACGAAGGAACAATCTCGTTGCGTTGTGTTTCGTTTTCTCGACGCGGTCACGACGAGCATAATCTTTTTGTATATTCCCCTTGCTGCGCAGACGTCGACGTTGGTTGTTTTTTTTTTACTCGCGTATCTTCCGTACGTGCAAGCGCACCGATATCGTTTCGCCGCGAAAATCGATCAATCGACCGTTCTAATCCACTATGCGCACCGTAATGTCTGTAACGTTCCTCGCGAAGACCGGGAGGTAAATGATTTGACGCGGTGTTTCCGACAGTTTATATCCCGGTGGTACGTTCGGAGCAAATTCGTGTATCGTGTGCACGAGTTGCTCGTTGCTGTACGCTCCCGCGGTGATGTTGCATTCCACGCGAATCACGTTCACATTTGTAATGTTCACCGGTTCGTCTGACGCGTACCACCGGTTGGGTTGCAGAATGCGCGACAACGAGAAACCGAGCAGCAAACCGATGTTGTTGGGTTTTAAAAAGTTGACTCGATAAGCGCACTTGATCTCGCTTTGCATGGTGTTTTCGTTGGCGCGAAGCGTCAACGCGCTCTTGTCACTCATATCGTTATCATCGTCGTTGCCGTCGTCGTCATCGAACATATCGTAACCGTCATCGTTGTTGTTGTTGTCGTTGTCATCGTTGTTTTCTTTGGTAACGCTCGCCTTTGGTTTCCGACGTCTGCGAAACACAGCGGTGTTCAGAAAACGAGCGAGAGCGCGCAATTTGTACGAACCCACAGGAATCGTTATCGTTTCGTCGTTATCGCCGAAGTAGAACTTGTTGTTCGTCGAGTCGACGTTNGGTATCGTGTTGTAAGATTCAAAGTTTGTAAGACCGAGTTTGTAGACTCCGTCGCTCAGATCGATAGGTGGATAGTAACTCACCGCGAGAACGCTGCTTCTACCGGTTAATATGAGCGTGATCGACATTGTTAAGAACGCGCGAGAACGATCGCTCACCACTCGAGATCCCTAAAAAATCGCAGACACAACTGACCGCAAACGTTCTGATCGTATGTTTGATACTGATGACGATTGTACGCGATTGCCGTGTTGCTTCCTAGATAGCGCTCGAGTTCTCGCGGCGGACGCAAGTTGCCGAATCCGCGGCGGACGCAAGTACACCGCGTTGCGTCCTTTCTTGGCGTAGGCGACCCAATGCGTGCCCGGTCTAATAGCGTCGTCGAGATTGACGATGCCGCTTTCGTTCGCGCGTACGCGCGCGGGTAAGGCGTTGCGCATAAATACACCCCTGAAGAACGGTATGCCAAGTTGTTGGGCAAGCGCGTCGAGTTGCACATTTGTGGTAACACCGGATGGTAAAGCGACATCTATCGCTTGCTTCCGCGTGGTTTTTTTTTACCGCGAAGTCCTTTTCCGAACGCGTTGCGCTTGTAAAGTGCGAGATACAATCTGCGACCTTCCAACGCGCGATTGTGTCGTTGCAGTTCCTCCAATTGGCGCGCAGCGGCTTTTCGATTGCCAACGGCTTTTGCTACACCAGCCGCATCACCGATCAACGATCCGATGGCTCCCAGCACAGGCAATAGAGGCAACAAGCCGCCGCGTTTCGCAACCGGTAGAATTCTCTTTTTCTTTTTTGCATGTCTTTTCTTTTTACCTATCTTGTGTCTCTTC